GCACCCTTCCCAATTCCCAAGTTTCCCATTTCTACTCATCCTTTTTTTCTATTACTTCCCACCTTCAGAGCTTTACTTCTAGGGTAATGCTGCCCTTCTGATTTTGTCTGATTGATTTTTCTAAGAAGTCTGTTGTTGTTCCCAGGTGTTACTGTTCATTTCACAGGTATATCATTTGGCTCAAAATTGAGCTCAGAAAGAGGTAAGCTCAATTCCAGATTTGAAGGATGTCTAAGGGTTATAGACTTGGGATTTCCACCAGGTTCTATTAGATCAGTAGCCTGTTCTTTTTCTATGACTTGGGGTTCTGCTCCACATTTTTCTTTTCTTTCACCCTATCCAAGTCTCCTACTGTGGTCCATTTCAGAACAGCCACTACAGTGGTAGTCAGGCACCATTTAGTTCTGGTCTCAGGGTCACAGAAGCTGGTGTTCACATCATCAATTTTGTCAGTCCATTGAACTAATTGTTTCCTTGCATCTTTGATTTTCTTCACTCCTCTTTGTTCTTGAAAGAAAGAGGCTGGTAGTTGCCCCTTAGCTGCCTGTTCACAAGCTTTTAACACCCAAATTGCTACATACCAAACTAGGATGTAGAACATTAGCTTTGTGGACTATTTTATGCCAATTGAGTTTGTTATTCCCCAATACTATGGTCCTGAGCCCTCAGGCCCAGTGATTCATTCCCTCAAGGTATTTGATTATGGCTAAGTTTTCCTGACTTTATCCCCTATTGTTATTATTGTCAATTGCTGTTGAGTGGAGCACTGACTCATAGTGACCCAATGAACAAAAGGCCCTAAGCCTTTCTAGAACTATGACATTTATCAAAGTTCACAGAGTTTCCAGAGGCATGTTGTTTAGGAAGTGGATGTCACTCCTGCTTCCAATATCCCCTATATGCTCTCCTATATTTGTGGATATATTTCCTGCACTTTGTGTGTATCAATATCTTCTGCCAAAACTGTATTTTTTTAGTGTAGTCTCATTCACATTTCCACCTCTAATCAGCTTGAGTGCATACCTATCCACTTAGATCTTATTATTACTAATATTGTAGGATTGGGTATGTCATAGTATTTATTTACCTTTGTTGCCTTTAATTCTTGTGCTACTCTCAGTAAACTCCTTCGCCTTATTTTGTGCTGATTCTCCCTTATTGTATATTGTCTTTCACTCACATTACTGCATGTCTATACTTCAGGCATGTTGCTAGAAGGGGGTATTCCTCAGAGAGGGACATGATAATTGGAAGGGTTGAGGGTCAGTGAAGGAGAGGAAGACCCTTGACCAGGTAGACTGACACAGTGACTGCTGCAATGGGTTCCCATGTGTCAGAAGTGCGAAGATGGCACAGAATAGAACAGAGTTCAGATTTGTTGTTCATAGGGTCATGATGAGCTGTACTTGACTCAACAGCACCTAACAACAATAACATGGCAAAAAAGAAGATTCACAACAACATAGACTGGCTTCGGCACAGCAGCAGTTGTGAGAATGGCTCAGGATTGGGCAGTGTTTGTTTCTGTTGCATACAGGGTTACTATGGCTCAGGGCTGGCCTAGTGTAAGGAATTCCCCTATCAACCCAAAGGCATGCAGTTTGAATTCACCAGCTGTTCCAAGGGAGATGAGCAATCAACGCCCATGTGATTAACTGCCTCTGAAAACCTGCTGGATTATCAACTAGGAGTGGGTGCTGACTCGGTGGGACACACCACTACCGCCAATAACCCTCTACTAGTGGTTCACTCTTCCCCTCCTACAGCTAGTAGCCTTCAAAAAGAATGTGTGTGTGTGTGTACGCGCGCAACCATTTTCTTGACTTTTCATTCACAGAGGAGAGTTAAAGCAAATGGTAATATCAAAATGTTAACTGGTGAATCCACATGAAGGCATTAAAAGTGCTCATTACCCTATTCTTTGATCTTCTCTCTATATTTGAAATTTTCAAATAAAAATACTGAGTAAAAACTAATTTGGGAAATTATTATGTAAATACCTATGCTCACTGTGTCTATAATTCACTGCTAAGATTAGTAGCAGACCAGTTATAAGAAGAGCAGAGTCAGCATCATCCCAAATGACTGACTCCACGATTTCCCACATGAACAGTTCCTCCTTAGTTCAGTTCCCTCACTCCTCTATGTCCCTTAGGTTTGGTGGTTCACTGGAAGGTCACCCAGGGACTTGACCTGTCAGACTCACTCGACTATAGGTATGGGGGCCCGTTTTGCAGACTGGTGAGCATTGAAGACTTTCACTTGTGTGTAGCTGGAAAGCAGGCATCCCAAAAAAAGAACTAACATTGCAGTCCTAGGACCTTATTTAAGCCTCTAGTAGGGGAAACTTGTATCCCACCCTAATCTTCTCTCCTTAATAAAGTAAACACCTCTGCACAAAACAGTTAGTCATTGGCAAGGAAAGACATTTTGAACAATAAAGCTTTGACACCACCGACTCACAAATAAGTGAAGTTCCATTCAGAGTCTAACCTGGGAATATCAAGTCTCACGGTATCAAGTGTAATTGTACCAGGGCCCAAACTATAAAAGGAGGTCAGAAAGGTGCATAGTTCCAGTCCCGATCTGCATCCAGATTAATGTCTATCCTTAGAATTAGGAAAAATTATTGAGACAGTAAAAATGCCAATGATGTGTTCAGTTGAGTGGAAAAACCAAGAGATAAGCTTTAATTTGGTATAAATCAATGAACTAGCTGGCAATGGCCTGAAGTTAATGGGATACAGCAGTAGTTTTCAAACTTAACTGCACTTAAGACAATAAAAAACACAAATATCTCTTGCCTGATTTCTGGAAAGTCTAATTTATTTGGGGTGTGGTCTGAGTATAGCTTCAACATTGAAGTCTTTTAAATCTCCCCAGGTGATTTTAAGGTACTAAGGTGCTTTTTATGTGGTCTTACAAAACCTGAATATCTATCAAGGTATTAGTTCTTACGGAGAATAGGTCTTACCAGAGTTGAGACTTTTTATTTGAGACCAAGATAGAGTCTAGCAATAAAAAGAGCCATGAAAGAGTTCTCATAGGCTGGTGACTAAGACTCTTTCTTAAGAACGAAGGACATTATATTAAATACATGGGAACAGGAATGTCCCAACAGTCCAAAACCTGGAACCCAAGAAGGATGAAGTGAATTACTTAAAGGCTATATTGGGAACTCAGGTGATTTATTGGTAAGGAAGTGCACTGCCAACACAAAGTGACATGTGCTGAATCTATCAGAGCAGTAGGAAGATGGGCAATCTCCCCCTATTTAATTAACTGCCTTTGAAAACCCACTGGAGGATTGATGATCTGTGGGTCATTTCCACTTGATGAGACACAACAACAGTTCAGCCTTTGAAGAAGTGACAAGATACAAAAAACTAAGAGGTATCCTTAAGAAGTTAAGTTCCATAAAATTAATCACCACTGATTTTATAAAACATAATGCATGGGAATGGTTGTATGAAATATCATGTCAATGAAGAATAGGGTGAAACACAATGTATACAAACTTTGTAAAGCAAACTAATGACAAATAAAATTTAGAAAAAGAAGTTACGTTCCAACCACAGGAAAGATACTTTGAGTCTTTGGTTGAAACAAGCCACAGAGATATAGCAGAGGAATAATAGGTTTCTCTCTCTCTCATTGCCATCAAGTTGGGTCTGACTAATAGCTGACCCTCCAGCAGGTTTCCAAAGCTGAGAATCATGTAGGAGAAGACTGTCCGTATTTTTTACAAGAAACATCTGGTGGCTTTGAACTGTAAGAGAAGTGAGGTCTTTGGGTTAGCAGGGCAACTCTCTTAACTGCACCACCAGCAGGACTGACTATAGCAGGTGTAGTAAAGGTAAGTCGAATGGACTGGATAAAGATAGTGGTTATCACAGAGGAGGGCAAAATTAGATTCCTTCACCAGCAATAGTTTCTCTTAAGTAGGATATTATTTCCAGGATCTGTCACGAGGGAAGGGGTCTCCTAGAAAAGAAAATGTAAAATCAAAGTGGGAGACACATGGGTAGGTCCTGGAACATTCGTTTTCATACTGGATGCCTTTGTTCTGAACAAATGGGAATGGTTGGCCTCCATAATAGGCAGGGGAGGAGCCATACACCTTAGATCTGGACTTAGATGAGCACAAACGTAGTTAGAGGCAAAAACTGACTTAAACCTGATTCATGAAAAGTTCTAGAAAAGGAACTTCACCTGAATTGGTTCATCCTGAGGCAAAGGACCTGTCTCCATACTGCCCTGTAAACAAGGCAGCTCCTATTAGCTGAGGGAAGCTTTCTTCTAGAGCAATCAAGTCTCAAAATGAGAGTGCACCAAAATCACTTGGACGTTTTGCTAAAACAGATTGCTGGGCTCACTCCTAAAATTTGTGGTTCAGTAGTCTTGAGTCGGGGCTTAAGAATTTTTATCTTCAGTAAGTTGCCAAGTGACACAAATGCTGCTAATCCAGGGATTTGGGGACCATACTTTGGGAAGCCCTGGGTTAGACGTGAAGCTGGAGCTGCCGACACTAATGGCATATGGTAAAATGCATAGCTGAGAACCATCTCCTACAGGTACTAACTTGGCATCATCTTCATTACGGAGCTAGCCAGCCAATTACTGCACCAGGAGCCAGCTAGGCTGCAGCTATGGCTAGGAAGACTACATTCTTAAGTCAGACTATCTAGGCTCTTAGTGTCCTGTGTCATTGTTCTGTTGTTATCCTCCATCATTTGAAACCTTCTGTCTCAGCCTGGGTACTGAACTTCAAAAGAAGGGTATAAGGCACTTGAAAAGGCTGTACCTCCATTCCACTAGACAAGTATGATGGGGCAAGGTGCAATCAGGGGGAAGCCTTTTCAAGAGTGGAAAATCTTCAAATATTTGGGGGCAAGGATCCTAGAAGACCAAGTTGGGAAAATGGATTTTCATTTATAACTTCTAATTTGATAAGTCCCACCAGAGCCCACAGTAAGCAGCTCCCACTCCTAATCCAGGGATCACCACCAGCTGAAGAAGAAAGTACAGAAGTAATTGGCTGCCTTGCCCCAGTATGAGTTGTACTCATAAGATACCTGGTACCCCTTGGCTTCAATGTCCATCTTTACACAGTCCAGGAGGTCCTTGATGTCTGGCGCAGCCTTCCAGGGCCCGAACTTGACCACTGACGTCTTGTTGGCCTCCAGGGTACGCAGGGTATCGACGCAGTGCATAGCATCCTCTTCCTTGCGCACAGCGCACACCAGCACTCTGGAGCTGCGGGCCGCCACGGCCTCTGCGCGCGCCAGGCGCACCATGAGCTCTAGGTTCTCACTGTAGTCTGGAACCCGCAGCAGAAACTGCTTCCGAGCCACCTGCTCTCCGAAGATCTTTGGAGTATCCTCCAGGAGCTTGACCAAAGGCTTGATTTCGTAGAACTGGGCTTCCCTGTACACCTCAGGGATGTGCTGGGTGGGTAGCTGCCCGCTGCGCAGGAAGTCGAGGATGGGTCCAAAATGGGTGCCTGGGCGATCGATGAAGAAGCGTCCCTCCGAATCCATGCAGGCCTTGGCTGAGCTGGAGAACATCTCTGCCAGCTTTGAGCCCGGGAGTTTTCTCAGGGTGCTCACTGTGGTGGTGTAGAACTCACCCCCCACGTTCAGCTCCACTACTGGCGAGATCTGAAAGTAGAAGCAGCAGAATCAACAACTGCACCACCTCCAGGGAACTCATGATTTATTTTCATGCAAAGAATTATCTTAAACGCCCAAAACCAAACCCTCCAGTGAGTTCCAACTCATGGTGACCATGGTGACCCTCCAGCAGATTTCCAAGGCTGCAAATCTTTACAGAAGATTGCCCCCTCTTTCTCTCAAGGAGTGGCTGGTGGACACAAAGTGATCCACTTTGTTGTGCCTGTGGTAGATTAAGAAACTTGATAAATGTTTTGTAGAAAAACAGGCCCCTTAAGGAGGGGTATAAACAAAAGGGAAATTCTAGGAATGTTCTTGATAATGAAATGGTGGGTATGAAACTGCTTTGGTTAGCTGGTCAACAAGACACACTACACCCTCTGAGGTTTTGTGGTACTGAATTTACGGGAGCCATATAGATTTCTTCAACTATTAGAAGACTCAACTTAACGTATGCTACAAAGGGTGAACATTTTACACAGGAAATAGGTTCCCATTTGATAATTCAAGCACCAGATGCCACAAAATGTTGTCTAGAGAAGGCTGCTGCTGAAGCAAGTCTCAAGAACTTCCAAAGTCTTTAACAAAATCTTTTCCCTTTGATGTTAACAGCATTGTTACTAGAAAGGTCAGCCATTTGAAAACTAACATTAGACACTCTTTGAGAGAAAGATAGTCAGTATCCTCCTGTTAATATGAGCAGGAATCGACCTGAAGGTAGTGGATATGTTGGTTTGGGTTTTTTTGGTGGGTTTTGTTTTCTCCTTTCACTCTCCCTAGGCATGTTATCATCCTTATAAAATTGGGATATGGAGCTGTTGTGAAATAAAGATTTCTTAATCTGGATGCTCAGATTCAAGAAATAGTATATAGGGGGGAGGAATGGTAGTGATTGATGTGAAGCATTTCCAACATTTCAGAAAGGCAATTTTATTCATTCAGAAGGATTTTGCAGGTACTTACCCATATGTAATGGAAGTTTGGAAGAGAAAGCCTTATTTTATATATATCAGAAGTTCTGATTAGCACTTTGCTATGTTCTTGGTTGACTAAGAAAATGAAACTGGATATATGTTTTGCAGAAAAATATGCCTCTCAGTGAGGGGTATAAATAATAAAAGGAAGTTGGTAGGAATATCCTTGGTGAAAAGATGGGTGTAAAGTTGTTTCGCAAACTGTAAAGTGAGCTGTTGTAGAGATCATAAAGTGTCCATCCAAGCAGAGTTGACTGATAGCTGCCCCTCCAGTGGGTTTTCAGAGGCTGTAAATCACAGGAGTCTGTCCATTTTTCTCTCAGTGCAGATGGTGGATTCAAACTACCAGCCTTTGAGTTGGATGCACAACTCTTTCCCTACTAGTTCACTAGTGCTCTTAGCTGTTCTAGAACAGGAATATTAGTGGTCTCCTCTCTGCACCAGACTCAGGGCTGAACACAAAGAATACGTGAGGTGGTCACCTGTACTGTCCTCCGGGAGAGAGGATGCCCACAGGGAAAAGGACATGGAAGCTGACTGAGAGCCTGTGCTACATTGCTCAGAGAAAACTAAGTGTCATCGCATGACAGAAGACAGTATATTAATAACTACACACGAGATGCTATATTATGTTCTTACTCTAAAAGACCAGATTCTGAAACTAATGTTTTTTTACTTACTCAGGTGTCAGGCATCTGGGACCCAACGATGAACAAGCAGGACTAAAGGCCCTGCCTTCTCAGACGAGTAACTTTGCAAAGTACTTCCCATACATTATTTAATTGAATCCTCACCGCCATTCTATGAAGACTGTATTAAATTTCCATTGTTATAAATGAGAGAGTTAAGGCTTATGAAGATGAAGTAAATTGACCGAGATTCACAAACTATCAAGTGATGGTTTAAGGTTTTGAATCAGATTATTTTGACTCTAAAGTTTGCACTCTAAATCATTACATATGATTCAACCTTCACATACCTCCACCCTTCATTCCCTTAATCACTCATTTGTTCTTTTATGCTTAACAGATGATTTAGAACACAGCTCTTAACTTCAGAAGCTCGCAGGGGAGCGAGGGAAACAGATGGGTAAATAGTTAGGGGTTGAGAGGGAAGATTTACAAGTAGGAAGGAATTTTATGGATGGTGCTGGAGGTTGTTAAATAGGTTCCTAGGGGATATGAGGCTTCTGCTTTGCAAGAAAGGCTGCAGGCTTCTCCATGCAGTAGTAAAGACTAGATTTCTGAAGTAGACCAGAAGTCAATTGCAAGGTTGGGGTTGAGGACAGGATTTGGAAATGGCCTTCAGTCTATCTTTGGTGTGACCTTATTCTCAACTGGTCTGTGGGCTTTACCTCTAAAATCAGAGTGAAGCACTGGAATTAAGAGAGCCACAGACAGACAAATTGCTGGGGAGAATTGAGTTGCCATGACAACAGCTCCTACCAGGGGACAGTGCAGTAGGCTGGAGGGAAGAAGAGAGAGGCTGCACCCTGACAATAGCCAATGTGCAGTGAGGGAAAGAAACCCAAGACCTATGACTCCCCCTTTCTTCCATAAAGCTCAAGGCTCCTTGGCAAGGCTGTTTAGTTAACCCTGAGGTCACTTCTGTAAAGCAGGCAGTTAAATGTAAAGTTACAGATTTTAACCCTTGAAAGAACAAACTGCTTTCAGCACACTTATTCCAGTGAGAGCACACAGGCCCTCTTAATGCTCCTATATGACAGGCAAAGCGAGCTCAGAGGGAAGCAGAAACTTGGCCAGGTTCACACAGCTAGGAAGTGATAAAGTTATAGATAGGATAAAACCCATGTCATTGTGACTAACTCCAGTACTGTACTCTACCCTTTCCAGTTCTGCCTATCTTTAACTGTGTGCCTGGGCTGGCTCACCTTCCTTCTCTGAATCTGAGCTTCATCATCTGTGAAATAGACCAAGAAAACTGTCTGTCCAGCTCAGAAACTCCAGTGAGTCCAATTACTCCAAGTCAATTCCAGAGCTAATTTTCATATGTTTTGCCAAGGAACTTCCACTTCTAACATCCTCAGCTCCTTCAATGTGTGTCACATCAGACTTCAGCCCTGTCCTCAATCTTTTTAATTTGTTTTTTTCTCTCCTTTCCTAAATCCCCAATTTTCTTTGTAAATCTGAAACTTCCTATCTCACTCCAAAATACATAAGTATTTTTATGCATTCAGGTTTATATCCTCCATTCTCCCCCTCCATTCAACCACACTGCTAAAGCGCTCCTGGGAGAGAAATCCTTCCCCAGGCCTCATATGCAGGGAATAGTCCTCAAGATATCTTTCTCTGGGTCAGGGAAGGTCCTCTACAGAGCAGAAAAGCATTTCCACAGGCACATTTCTTTATGTTACAACCTCAGGAATGAGAATTTGCTGCCTGCCAGACCAGTACTGGCTTGAAGACACAGGATGAATCCAAAAAGCCCAGCTCTTCCCAGGTCCTGTTTAAAGGGTCTTTATACATCTGTAGTCCACCCCTAACATTCACATGCTTCCTTATGTTACCCTCAGCCAATGAGGGGACATCTACACTCGTATGTCCCTCAAGCTTCTCATGCTAAACCTCTTCCATAGTTCCCTATCTCAGCTGAACAAAGCAGAAGCAGAATCATGGTCTTGCATTCGCTTCCCAGCAATCACCAAGGCTTGCTTCTTATACTTTCCAGGTCAATTCCATGGCTCCCAGCTCCTTCTACCACCCTCCCCCTAATCCATTCTCCACTCTGAAACCTGAGCACCTTTTTTTGAAGTGAAAATAGGATCCAGTCACTCCATGCATTAAACATTTCAGCGACATTCCATTCCTTCCGAGATAAACTCCAGACTCTTTAACAAGGTGTAAAAGGCTCTCTGTGATCTGGCAGCGACCACTGCCTCCAGCAATAGGCTACCAGGACCCACTAGCTGTCCCCCACCCCCAACTCATCCAGAGCAAGATGGGTGCCCCTTGTCTCGGGGACTTCACACTCCCTTCAATCTAGCCTGTTTATCCTTCAAGTAAATCCCTCCAACTGTCTTTCCAAGTGGACTGTCTCCTCTGTGATCCCCAGGGCCCTGTACTTGCCCTGTTTATGGTAGTTACTTTCTTGTGATTTCCTGCTTGTTCATGAGTAAACTCCTTAGACCATTTACTTCTTCAAGGGAGGAACCATCCCCGATTCACCACTGTATCACTAGTATCTACTGCAGGTCTCAGCACTTAGAGATGCTCAATCACTGTTGAATTGCAGTGAGCTTATCCTTCGTGCTGATTTTATAGGCACACCTGGTAGCCCTGGGTGGTGCAAGTGGAGTGCAATCAATTACTAACCCAAAGGTTGGCTGAGCCCACCCAGAGCATGAAGGTCTAGCAATCCGCTGCTATAAAAATTTACAGCCAAAACACCCCTATGGAACACTGTAGCCCAACACACAGGGGCGCCAGACGTTGGAAACGACTGAAGGGTAGGCTTCTGTTTTATTTTGTGTGTTTGTGGGCCAATCTTGCCCGCAGGCATCATGCACGAGTTAGCTCCCTCAGCATTTATTGAGCACCCAGGGTGCCCTGCCATTAAGAAGGTGACTCTAAATAGCTAACAATAGTGGCATTATTTTGACTTTACTGGAAAAAGCCATACTCTCCCCACCGTTGGACTTGCCTTCTCTCTTCCTGCAAGTCTTCAGGATAACCTAGCCCCAGGGAGAATCTCGGGCTCCTCTATTCGTATTCCTCCAGCCCACTTCCTGGCAGACAAGCAGTGGGCAGAGACCCAACCCGCGGGAAGGGGCAGGTGGGATCCCGGCAGGTGGGATGGGAAGCGGAGGGCGATTCTCTGCCAGCACTTAAGTGGGATACGTTTCTCTCACAGGGAGAAGAGATAGGTAGGGAGTAGAGACAACCTGGGAACCGAGAGACGGTACACTCGGAGAGCAATTGAAGCGGAGGAAAGGAGACAGTCAGTAAAGAAAAGGCCAAGTGGAGCGGCGAGACATCCGGGATCAGGAAAGAGCCAGGTGCAGGACAGAGATCAAAGCAAGCGGAACAGTCAAGGAGAGAGGCGGAGGGAGAGGCAGGTGCCCGGGCCCGGGGTGCAAGCTGGGCTGCGCCAACAGCTAGGAGTGGAAGGAGGCAGAGCTGAAAGCCCGAGGG